CTGTGCTGGCCCAGGAAAACACCTTTACAGCAGCAACACTCATGTGCACATCGTGAACCTCCCGTGGTTACAAAGAGCAGGAAAACGAGGAGTGGGAGATGCTCTGTCCTGCCAGAACTCCCTGGGGTGAGAGCACTGAGTGCTGCTCTGCTCTCCAAGCCATCCCCAGCTGCCCTGCTGTGGCTCTCCAGCACCATCCAGGAATGTGTGGCATTGTCCCCAGCCCCTGTGGAAGTGGCCCCTTCATTTACCACTCAGGATCAGGTGCTTGGTCAGAGCTGCCCCTGCTGTGCCTTCACCCGGTGAGAGCTGCAGGGGGAGCACAGGGGGCTCAGGAGTCGATCCTTCCATAGGAAGAAAACACTGTGGGCAGAGAGGAAGGTCAGTCAGCACCAAGGCAATGCTCAGCAGTGCCCTTCCTGCCAAAGGAGGTCTGGGTTGTTTAGGATTAGGAGCTCTCTGGGTCCCTTTATCCTGTGTCTCTTTGTTATTATACAGCATGGTAAGAGAAATCACAGGTATCTGAGAGATTTTTCCACACAGGCCTGATTTTTTTGGATACCAGGATTCCTGGCAAAGTTGGCAGCAACTTTAACTAGTGTCAGCTTTCCCTGGGGAGGAACCACACGTATTCCACTCGAGCTTCTGAGCTTGGTCAGCCCAGTAAACCCTGAGGCTGCACAAGTGCCTGAGGTCCTCAGGGATGTGCCTTTTCCTGGGAGCATCCCTATTTTCCTGGCTCTCCACTGTGATACAACAGGCCACAACCTTCCCAGGTAAGTTTTTGAGGTACTTACTTCTCTCTCTCAGCCCCTGCCCAAAGCTGCGGTACACGTGGAGCAGGGCCCAGAACAGGACAGATTTGATGGCAACAGAAATGCAGGAGCCAGTAATGAAAGCAGCCTCCAGAGTGTAGGAATTCCCTTTGCCCCACTCCCTTATCACCTGCAGGAAAAGGGAGACATAAAGCAATCAACACCCAAAACCTGGAAGCCACAAGATCCAATGGAGCACTGAATTTCTGAAAGAAGTGGAATTTGGGGGAAGAAAAATCCCAAACTGGTCGCTTTTAAACTTAATTTCCTGTTTAGATGATGGAGGGTAAAGTGTCCTGCTGTGCTGTGCCAGATCAAACAGGCCTGGAGTAATGGGAAGGGCCTGGTTTGCCTGCACACTGTGAAAAACAGAACCCCAAGGATGGGGGTGGCTGCAGCCCTGGGACTTTTATTGGTGTCTGGAGACTGTGGATGTGGAGCAGGAGAAACCCTGGCCACTGTCAGCATTCCAGCCCTTCCCATGGTGAACAGTCTGCTCTGCCCTTGCCCTTCTCTCTCCCTGCTCCTTTCACATCTTGTGGGAGGTGCTGGAGCCCCACAGGGAAAGGCTTTATCACAAAATAACACCCAGCACTGGACTTGGGTGGGCTTGTTTTGGCTACATCAGGATCAACAGCTGGGGGTGCTGCCTAAGAAATCCTTTAAAACATAACAGCTGAGGCCCTGGTCAAATGCTCTGGCACCACTTGAGACCTCGTGAAGGAAGGGAGGCATTTTTGAGGAGCTCTGTGTCTTGTACTGGAAGATTGTGTTGCATTTTTCCCTAATTATTCTGGACACTTTGCCAGAGACTTCCAGAGCCTCTCCCTGTGACTGAGGAGATCCAGTTCAAGATCAAGCTGAAATGGTTCCTGTCCTGAAAAATGGATCCTGAAGAGGCAGGATGTGCCTGCTGCTCTCTTTAGATCCAACAGGAGGATGTTTTGGGCCCGAGGATCCAGCAGGGAAGAGGAGCCCTCCAGCCTTGCTGTTCCCAACCAGGTGAGTTTGCTGCGTTACCGTGTACAGCAGGTAGATGAGATACACCACTTCAGGGACATTCTGGATCAGAAAAATCCACACCAGGGGTTTCAGCTCTTTCAAAATCTGTAAAATAAGACAAGACACACATACAGCTCTATAACTCATTGTTATATACTCTGTAAAAGCTACAAACAGCTGATTTTTCAGTGGCATTTCAAGTGTTGGTCAGGCTGAGTTCTCAGCTGTAACTTTGCCCTCCCAGGTGGTTTTTTTTTAAGCAGGAAATACAGTCCCTGCTTTCCACTGAGCTGGGCCAGGAGTGATGGTGTTTTTCTTTGGGTATGCTCAGGTTTTTCTCTAAAACAAAGGAATGTTAACAGCCTGAAAGCTCCCTGTGGCTTTTTTCCCTACCTTTGTTTCAGGGCAGTGCAGGCACTGAGGACTGAAATGTCCCAGTAAAACGTGGGAGAAGCAACAGGATTTCACTGTCAGAATTCTGTTTCCCAATTCACCTTGGGACTTGGGAAAGAGGGAAGGGACTTCCAGCCAGTCATGTAAAGACATGAGGCCACCTAACTGGAGCAACTCTTCCTTTTCTTACAAGGACAGAGCCTCTTTTAGTGCCTAAAGGCAACTCCAGGAGCAGCAAAGAACTTGTAATCTGTGGGCAGCAACTGCCCAGATGAACTTTGTTTCTGATGGTGAGGGGAAAGTAGCTGAAAGGTATTTTACATTTTTAATCCCATCAGGAAATCAGGCATCACTCTGATTAGGAGAAAGGTGATTCTGTGTTACCTGAGTTACCAAAGTGTTTTAAAAGCACAGTGCTTGGTGCTGCCTCCATTTTTAGCAAGGAAAGCCATCAAAACAATTGGAAAGCTGTATTTCAGCTGCCAGGAATTCATGTGAATGTCAAAGCAAACAGCCAAGGAGCCTAAAAAAACATTCACCCCCCAAAAAAACCCCTTAAACTCCTTCCTGGTCATAAAAGACTCACATATCTGATGTACTTTGGCCCCGATTCTGCAATCACTCTTGGAACAGTCTCAAGATTTCAGAGGAGGTTCAGTCTAACTGACGTGAAAAATGACATTTCAAGTTCACAAATCCTCATTTTAACCTGGACACTATCCCTGAATTTTGAAGAAGCTGCCCCCATAAAGGACCACCCAACCTTTTTGGTGTGGTTTCCTAAGGATTTGAGGCCTGTGAAGTCTCTCTGTGTCTCTATAACCCCAGTAATTTGGAGGACTGTTCCCAGTTTCACCCAGCCTTGTCAGAGAGGTTCAAACACGGAAGTGTGATCCTACAGGTTTCACTTAAGTAGGTGATCAAGGACTGAGAACAAAACTGTGTCCCTCAGACAGAATGAATGATGATGTGACTGTTTCACCCTCTCAGGTGAGGCACAGATTTAGAAGTGTTGTTGGGGCTCTGGTTTTCTCCATCCTGGCTCCCTTCCCTTGGCAGAGGGGTGTGGAAGGGGGTGGCTGTGGCTCCCCAGGCTGGGGGGAGTACTCAAGGTGAGACCCTGCAGGCTCAGGGGTTGTTTCCCTGGGTCTCAGTTGAACACTCACTGCGATGATGCCGATGGTGACCTTCAGGCAGCCCCACAGGGCCCCCGTGGCTGAGATGATGTTGTGCAGCAGGGTGATCTTGTGCAGGCTGATCAGCAGGATACACAGGCAGAGCTGGAAGGGGCAGAGATGGGGAAAAATCATGGCTTTGAGACCCTGCAGCCACTGAAAAAAACACCTGGGACAAATTCCCAGCAGCAGAAAGTCAGGCAAAATCTTTCCTTATGGAATGGGAAACCAGGACAGAGGAACTCCCCTGTGTGCCATGATACCAACAACAAAGATAAAGCATAAGGTAACACAGTGGTAAAGAATGAAGGGTAGTGGACAGAAGTGCAGACTTGGTGAACAAACTTGGGGTTCACTTCTCATGTCTATAACTCCAGTTGTTACCTCACCCCACTGCCCTGTGGGGCAGGTTCCCCTCTCCCACCCCAGGATCACTTCCCCAAGGGTAGGACACAGCTGGGATGTTGTGCAGGAATAACTTTTCCTATTTTAGGAGGCTTTGGGTGGGTTGGAGCTTCTGGATGTAACTTTTTATGGAGAAACTTCCCAAAAGTAAGTTTCACTCTCCTTTAGTGCAGGACAGTGATAAAACGTGTTGATTCATTTTTATGGATTTTACCTGGGATTCCCTATAGAAACCTGGAGATATGACCATTATTATAAGGTAAGACAGAGGCAAGATTGCTCTGGGGAGTTAATAATTAGCTCAGCTTGTCCAGTTTATTACTAATAAGAGGGGAAAAAAAAGGGAAGGTGGGGGGGCAGAGCTGTTTACCTGTGCCTGGAGATCAAAAGTGAGCATGGAGAAGCAGAGGTTGAGCATGAAGTACTGGGACTGAAGGCTCTCCAGGGCACCCCCCACCCGGAATGCCATCATGCTCTGGCTCTGGATGAGGATGATGGCACAGATCACATCGAAGGAGCCAACCAGCAGGATCAGCACAAAGCGGGCCTGGGGGGACAGAGACAGGGCTGTGACTGCCCAGGGCAAAACAGGGACAGGGGGTGACCTGGGATCTTCTGACTGGGAATAAAGGAGTGAAGGAGTAAGGAAACCAGGCTGCCAGACTGGTTCTAGGCCTCCTGTTGGCATAAACCAACCGGGGGAACCTTCCCCCCTGATTCCAGAGGGTTATTCCCAATAACCTGTTAAATTCCAGGAGACACGGGTTTTGTCTGGGCTGTATTTACCTTGCTGGCATTCACACTAAACCTCTGCTGCTTTAAAGGTGGCTGAAGTGGCAAAACACCCTTCACAGTTGCACTGATATGAGAATATTTACACTAGAAATGATTCCTGCTCAGGAAGCAGGAGTTACAGTAATTCAAGTTACTGTTAAGACTGGTAAAAAAGCCAGTCCTTAATAGTTCTCTTCACATCTTCCACAGCAGGCTTTACTTTGAGGTTCTTGTTTAATATATAAGCTGATGACTTGGCTGCACATTTTAAAGGAACCTGCACCCCTTTGATGCCTGTTCTTTATTGACCCAAACAACCAACCCAATTTGCTGCAGATAAGCCTGTTTAATGATATGTACAATTGATAGATAAACTAAATTGGAAAATTCTCCTCGGCTCCAGCTTCCTAATTTGGTTGCCACCTCTCCTATTGAAGAATAATTTTTTGGGTGACTTCACAGCAAGGAACTTCCTTCTCCCATTTGTGATAAAAATATGATTAAAAAGGAAGGACTTCTGGGAAGCACAGCAAGGGGAAGTTTAACTACAGATCTCAGTAAGGCCCAGAATACAGTCTTTGTATCACATTTAATTGCTATGAATGCAAACAAGATAACATGTGGCAGGTTATCTTCTGGCAGTATCTTCCCCCAGCCTGTTGTATCTTTGTTTCCCTGCAGCAGGTTCCCATAAATCCCATAAAAACACAAGGATGTGTTTATGGAGCTGTGTCCTTGCCTATGGACTGGAGATTCCAGTTCTATCCACAGGTTAAATGTATGTGACTTTAGGCCACATGTGAAGCAGAGCAGGTGAAGTGAAGGGTGTTTTCTGCAGTATCCTTTGATATTTATGTTACTTCCAGATTAAACCCAGGGAAGAGCTCAGAGGAGCAGACCTGCAGCTGTGGACGTGCACACTCTGTTGTTCAACAGGAATTAACTCAGATTAACTGACATTTCTGTCAGCAGTGCCCTCACCACAGACATCCTGCCTTTCTACGGGTTTTCACACCCAACACGAGGGGAAAGGAAAAATGAATGGAAACCAGGAGAGACTGACCAGGAGCTTTGGCTTTTGCTCAGCGGGGAGGACAGTGAAGTTGGTGATGGAGCGCAGCATCACGAGCAGGATGGAGAGCACGAAGACGATGAGCTCCTGGCGGTTCTCCTGCAGGATCCCCCGGCTCACATAGTACACACAGAACACTGGGGGGACAAGGCAAGGGCAGTGCCAGGTGAGGACACACTGAACACCAGGCAAAATTTCCCAATGTGCTGGATCTGGGTGCCAAAAACCTGAGCAGAACCACAGAGCTGAGGCTGCTCGGCCCGGAGCGCCTTTGCTCCTACCAAGGAGCCTGAACTAGAAACTTAAAACACTCTCCCCAGGAAATTAAATAATTAGTTAGACTTTTAAATTCCTTGTGAAGTAACTCTGCAAATAGCAGTGTATCAGCCACCCAAACTGGCAGCTGGGCTGTGTTAATCTACAAGCACTACATTGATTATGTCCAACTGAATATTTGAATTAAATGAAGCAGCACCATTTTTATTAAAGAACTGAAATGACATCATCTTCCCAGGGAGAGTAATTCAGGTGACTAACAAGCAGTTTACTACTCACACACACCCTCCCCCCTCTAAAGTGTTGTCTGGTTTGTGCGTTGAGCTGAACTTGGACAGACTGGATTCAGTTTACTTTTACTGTGGAAATTTTGAAACACCCCACCCTGCAAAATAACTGAGTTCTGCTTTTATAAAACACATCAACCCCCCCAGTCACCTGTCACCATGAACTCTGTGCTGTTCTGGCAAAGCTTAAATAAGGAAAAGGCTTTGTTCTTTTATAGGATGCTCCTGCAAACACTGGGTTGTTCTTCCCACAGCCAAAGTAACAATAGGGTTTTTTTTCCAGAGTGCTGCTTCCTGGATTCCACACGTAAAATCCCCCCCACTTTTGCAAGGCTGGGACATGGGGACAAAGTGCTGTCCAGGTCTTCAAAGGAACACGGTAACTTGAGTGTCTAAACAAACCTTCAGTGACTGAGCTTCCTTTTCCACTGCTCTTAACAGGGACTGAGAGAGCAGAAAATGATTGGCAAATTACAGAGTGAATCACGGGATTTTTTGGACATGCTCTTGACCTCAGGAAGACCTCAAAGACTTAAGGCAGCATTTCCTTGTTTTGCAAATTCAGCTGCTCAATCAGAAGAAATTTTGCACAAATAATTTGAAAATAAGCTCTGATTATCAAGATTTTTGCAGAGGTGGCATATGCACATTTCTGAAATACAGGACACCCCCTTGGTTTTGGGGATGAATTCTCAACAGATTAAATCCCCAGCCCCCCTTAAATTAAATATCTAATTGTAAACCCAAGAGATTGTTACAGCCAGGGCATCTATTTTTCTTTAAAGAAACACCTGTCCTGTCAGTCTTTGTCTACCACACAGAAAACATGGTTTGGGGGAAAAAGAGATGGGCAAGTGTGGCTTCAACTTCCCAGGTCTGTGACTGATTCAATATGCAGGTTCTTCAGGCTGTTCTAACATTGCAGCTTTGTGAGCCCTGTGTGAAGAGCTGCTCATTAAATCAGAGGTTTGGAATTAAAGCATTGTTGGGATTTGTCTAATTATAGAATCTGGAACAAAGCTATTGTCTTTGTTCCCTCTGGGTGAGAGCTGGAAGGCAAGGACTGTGTTACACCCACAATCTCTCCTTTTTCACACTGTTTTGGCAGCTAAGACCTGCTAAAGCCACTTCCTGAAATAGTTTATTATTTTCATGGTAATTTCTATTTGAGACAAATGGACCCAAGAATACAAAAATAAGTTTCTGTTGAAGCTCTCATTGGAAATATCCAAGGAAGTTTGGATCTTCCAGTGGGGGAAAAATATTCAACAAAAAAGAGATTTTTTTTTTTTAAAAATGAGGTTCTTATTTTAATAAAATGCTTCAGCTGAGGCAACATCCTTGCAGGAACTTAGCACAGAGAGATGACTTCACATTTTCTTGTTTGAGATCAGACATTAAAATGGGAACTGGAAGCTTTTCTGGCACAGCTGAACATTCAGCACCTCTCACATAAGAAACTTCAGTTGCTGCTTAATTATACTTTGGGGGAAAAAATATTTTTGTTTCAAAATCCCAAGAGTTTCTTACCAACTCCAACCAACTGGATAAAGGAAATGGTGAAATCCTCCTCGGTCTGCCGGACCAGTGTCTCTATGGTGAGTCCTATGACACTCAGCAGAGACAAAATAGTGACACAGAAGTAGATCTTCACAGGGAATGAGAGCTCTGAACATGGCTTTATCTGGAAAGGAAGAACATTTCTGAACACATATGCAGAATAAACTCGTTGCTGTTCCTAAAAAAAAAAAACACATTAGGGCAAGTTGGGTAAATGAGGCAGTGCAGGGTTTTCCCTTGGGAAAAGGAAGAGAAACCCACCAACTGAACTGAAATTCCAAAATTGCTGAGGAAGGGAGAAGTCTAACTTTATTGCATAATTAATCTCAGCCTAGACTGCCCTGGTTTATACCTCCAGCCTTTCTGCCTCACAGAGGTCATGGCATTATAATCCCATCTCCTGGCCTGGAGATTGTCAGTGCCCACATGTACCCCTGGCAGAGCATGGGGGTGTCCAGCAGGCAACACATTCCCAGACTTTCAGTTTTAGAGAACTGTAAATACAGGGTCGGGGTTGTCAGTGAGGTGAGGTCCTTATTTTCTTTCACTGAAATACTTCAGGTGAAGCAACATCCTTGCAGGAACTCAACACAGAGAGATGACTCTGCTCCCATCCCTGCTCCAGGGACAGGACCTGAGGGAACGGCTGGAGCTGTGGCAGGGCAGGGTTAGGTTGGATCTCAGGAGAAAAGGTTCTTCCCCCAGAGGGTGGTTGGGCACTGGAACAGGCTTCCCATGGAATGGTCACTTCCCATGGAACAGTCACTTCCCAAGGAATGGTCACTTCCCAAGGCTGCCAGAACTCAAGGAGCATTTGGACAATGCTCTGAGGGACAGGGTGGGATTGTTGGGGTGTCCTGGGCAGGGCCAGGGGTTGGACTGGCTGATCCCTGGGGGTCCCTTCCAACCCAGGACATTCCATAATTCTGTCACTCTCTATCAGGATGCTCGTTCTGCGACAAGCCTTGGAGGGCAGACACCTGAACTCCCCGGTCCACCTTAATATGGGCACGGATTCGAGGCACTTTTTCCCATTCCCGTTCCATTTCCCATTCCTCCCAGGCAAGGTAACAACGTGGACACAGGGACCCTGTAATCCCCGGGAGGGACGGAGGGACCCTGCTATCCCCGGGAGGGATGGAGGGACCCTGTTATCCCCGGGAGGGATGGAGGGACCCTGTTATCCCCGGGAGGGATGGAGGGACCCTGTTATCCCCGGGAGGGACACAAGGGACCCTGTTATCCCCGGGAGGGACGGAGGGACCCTGCAATCCCCGGGAGGGACGGAGGGACCCTGTTATCCCCGGGAGGGACCCTGTATCTCCGGGAGGGACGGACTCCGCGGAGATGGCAGTGAGAAGGGCGGGAGAGGCAGCCGGGGCTGGGCCGAGCCGCGGGAGGAGAGGGGGTGTGGGTACTCACGGGCCCGCAGGGCGTGGGGATGAGCTGCCGGTGTCGCGGGGTGAGGTTGGGCAGGCTGGGCAGGCTCGGCCCCGCCGGGCCCGCGGCGCCGCTGCGGGGACACAACGGGACGGTCACGGGGCCGCACCACGCACCCGCGGGGGGAGGGGGGCCGCCCGCGCCCTCCCCAACCCCCGGCACTGCCCCGCCGTGGGCAGCGCGGCGGGGACCCCCCCGCGCCGCGCGTGGTGCCGCCCGTACCTGCCGTCCATGGCCGCGGCCGCGCTCCCGCCCCGCTCTGCCGGGACCTACATGGCTGCGGAGGGGCCCCCGCAGCGCTTCCGGGGGACACCCCGCACGTCACTTCCCCGGCACGGCCGGGGAGGGCTCCCGAGGGTCCCGAGGGGCGTCCCCGCCCCGTCCGCCCCCGCGGGCCATGGAGGGCTCGGCGCGGCGGGGGCTCGGCGCGGTTCTCGCTGTGCGTGTCCCCCGTGACCCCCCGCCCCGCTCCTTTGGGTCGTTTCCTCGTGGGTTCGGTAAAATGGCCTCCCCCGAACGGCCGCGGTGACAAAGGGGCGAGCCCGGGGCGCTTCTCCGCCCCGAGGGGCCGGTGCCCGGTGCAGCCCCGGCGGGGCGGTGCGGGGCCGGACCCGCCTCCCCGCCCGGCGCTCCGGGCGCGGCACGGGAAGGGATGGGATGGGTGGTGGCCGCATCCCGGGAGCCGCATCCCCCGGGGAGCCGCATCCCGGGTTTGCCGGAGCCACGGGAGCGGCGGCGGCGTGCGGGGAGCCCGCAGGTGCCGGGCGGGATGCGCTGAGGGAGGGAGGGAGGGAGGGAGGGCAGAGCGGGCGCTGACGGAGAGCAGCATCCCCGGCCGGCCCTGGGAAGGGGGATGTGGGTGCTGGAGGTCTCTGGAAAGCCCTTGGGCCCGGAGGGGCGGGCGGGAAGGCCGCGGTGCAGCTCCTGTGCCGGGGATGCTCGGGATGCTCCGAGCCCTGCCCGGGATGCTCCGAGCCCTGCCCGGGGACTGGAAGGCGAGCGGGAATCGCCTGCGTGGGGCTGGTTCGGAATGGGCAGGGAAGGCTCTAGGAGTGGGTGACCAGAAACAGCCTTGGAATGCGAGAAAAGTCTTGAAGCTATTTCAATCTTTCGGCATCCTCTCTGTGTGGGAGCTGTTAATAGTTTTGGTATTGTGCTCACAGCCTGTGTTTATCGTTGCAATGTAGTGAAGCTGTTAATAGCCACAACTTGCTGAATTCTGCGCTGTTTGCTGTGCTGGGGGCAATGTTTGGGTGACCTCTTGTGTAACAGATGAAGGGTCACGGACACAAGCCTCTGTTTTTTCACTGTCATATTGGCCTTAAGCACTTGCAGCATAATTGAGCTTTAGTTTTTCTTGAGTAAAGCTGACTTCAGAGAGTTCTTTGTGGATGTGCCTTCCACCTTGACACAACGTTGTTACTGGCAGGGTAGTTAAAGGTTGGAGGAGATACAAGGAAAAGGCAGTGCATGGTGCTGGTTCTTTGGAGCTGGACGATTGAGGCTTTGTGTGTAATCCAAGAGAAACAACTGCCAACCACTGCCACGTTTTCAGCTGTTGGTAAACATCAGCTGCTGGCTGGCCTTGAGGGAGGAAGGCTGAATTAGTTCCAGATGGAGAACTCTTTCAGCCCATTTAGGCTTTCCAGATGATTTAAGCCGGCAGGTCAGTAATTTAGGGGAGTAGTTCTGTTCTTATTTGCTGTTCTGCTTCCTGCCCTGTGTGGAATCAGCGATATCAAACCTGATATCCCAGCGCTGCTGAGGGTGGGAGTTTCACGGTGCTTGATTGCTTTTGGTTTTAATTGACTTGTATAAACAGAAAATATACTGAAAAAGCTGGGCTAACTAACTATTTTGAATGTAGAGGGGCATTTTTTTAAGACCTGAAAAAGGAGGAGGAGCCAAGAATCCATTTTTCTTACCAAATTCTCTTGGAGAATGTGTCTCCTCCTTCAAAGTTTTGTGTTGAACCTGGTTAACACAAACATGGGGTTTAACACGAGGGTGTTGGAGGGTCTCATAGCTTGGTTTGCTGCTGTCATGATTTCCTGGGAAAATGGAAAGAGATAAAGGCACGGGGATGGAAATCTTCAGTGCTTGGCTGTAACAACAGAACCAGAGAATGTGAGGAATGGAAAATTTCACTGTAAAGCAGCTGCTCTGTAGGATATCGAGACTGACAGGAGATATTTAACTCTGTAGTACCTCTTTATGATTCATTTGAGATGCCACATTGGGCAAAAAAAAACCCTGAAGAAAAGAATGTGTCCTGTTCACCTGTTCACATGCTCCCAGAATCAGGGCAGGTGCAGTAGCTCTTGGTACAACTCTTGTATTTCTCTTGCCACTGAATGTTGGTTGTGCTGCTGTTGTTTGATGCACTGTAGTATTATAATCTCATTTCAGATGGCTTTTCCAAGATGTCCAGTAATTAACTTCCCCCACAAGAATCCCTTTTTAAGGCTCATTGTCTTGTCTGTCCACCAAATGTGCTTCTGGAGACAAGCATTTAAAATGTAATTTCCCCAAGTGCTTGTTCACTGAGGAACAAAAGAGCTCCAGTCCCTCAATTCATCTGCATCTGATTCATCCAATTTTCACTTGCTCGTAAGACAAAGGCTGCAGAAATAAAAGGGATAAATTCAAAGTGTGTTTTGATGTTGCAGATCAGCTGCTCAGGTGCAGTTTTTTTGTTTCTCAACACAGACTTTGAACCCCTGAGTGGCACTGGCTGACCCTGCCTGGCTGGGGAGGGATGAAGGTCACAGGGGGGGTTTTGGTGCTCTCTGGACTCTGCAACTGTAACTTGCCACATTTTGTGCCATCTGTAAAAGGAGAAAGCTCTAGCTGCAAACGATTCAATGCCTTTTTTTCTGTCAGATCTAATAAAAAAGGCTTTAAGAATTATTGCAAGTACTGATATTGAATTGCAAGGTACAGCAGTTCTGCGTGGCAAAATAAGTGATGTTGCATTATTTACAAGTAATTAAATAGAGAACAAGTCTGTTTGGAAAGCTCTTGGACATATTTTCCTATTTTGTTCACCTAGGAATTCACATTTACCAGGATAATTGTGTTTGTGATTACTGGGAGTTGCAGTCCTTGATTATTGATTGCTTATTTGACTCAGGTTGATAACAGATTAATTAGTACTAAGGGTACAGGCTCCTGCCTGGATTTGCTGGGTTGGGAATATTTTTCTGCGGAGTGGTTAAAGAAGACCTTAGACTGAGATC